ACCCAAATTAAGGAAGCAGGAGAGATCAAACAGAACTGCTGCTGGGTTGTTGTCAGGAGCGGCTACATGGAGAACCCTGGACTATCCGATCAGGCAGCAGAGCCAGTATGTTCACTTATGCAGAAATGGACCATTGCAAATGCTCATCTTTGTCGTTCAAGGGAAAGCTCCTTGGAAGCAAATATTCAGCCCTCTCTGGGCAACGTTGGAGTTCCTTTGGGATGCTGAGTTGCCAAACAAGTTATTCAATTTTTTAATGCATCCTCCTTGATGAGGGGAAGGCACCCCAAAAGGTATTAAAAGAATATTAAGTTGTCTGGAGGCTGTCTTGTTACCCAGAACTGTGCAGTGGAATTCTTTTTTCCCAACATTAGACTCCTACACTAGAGTTAGATAACGTTTTCTCACATCGAGTTTAGAAGATCTGCCTTGTCAGAGAAGCCAAGGTTTTGTATATGAGGGTTTAAATCTGATGTGAAGCTCAGTAAAAGAAAAAAAAAAAATCCCTGGTGATGAAGTTTTGTCAGCCCACTCTTAGAATTTATAAAGGCGAGAGAGAGCATTCTCCAGATTAGACATAACCTCTTTTTTTAGATTGACATTCAGCATGACCACGTTGCTACTTTTATTCAAGTTCTCTATAACTTGTGCTTTCTTGTTGTCTAGGAATATTTCACTGCTTTACATTTTTAAAGAGAGTAGTAATAGTAATTACTTTAGCATTTTGTTTTCACAGGTTTATCAAAGTATCATGAAAGAAACAGCTATTCAAATTAACTGTCTCAAATTAAGGGGTTTTTATTGCTGGAGATGTCTGTAAGACTTTTGTGTTTATATTTAAACCCTGGAGTATAAACTGTGTAACACTTTTTTTTTTTTTTTTGTCTGCTACAACCTATCTCCAAATTAAATGCCATTTTCCATTAAGTAGAACAAAATAGGAAATAGAACAAGTAAACACATGTGGAAGAAAAACAACAATTGTCATTTAAGAATTGTATTTTTAACTAACAAGCATTGGTCACATAGTAAGCACTTTATATTTTTTAGTAAGTCAGAGTTTCATAACCATGATGCATGACATGTTTCAAAGTCTGTAGCTTTTATTGGATATACCTTTATTGTATAATTAAGCAATCTGAGTTAAACATACACATAGATGCTATTAGGCAATTTTCTGCAATATGTAATGTTTTTAAAAAGCTATAAATATTTTCTGGTTAAATCATTTGTACTAACAATAGCAAAAGTTAACTGAGTTAATATTGAGCCTAGGCATGGTTTTTTTGTTACTAAGTTTTTCCTTGTTGCTCTTAAGACTATACCCCTGGTCTTATAAATACTCATTCTTTGGCTCTATTCAAGAGTATGTCTGTTTTCAGCAGTTGTTTAAATTAACAGAAGAATTATGATTATTTCCCAAACAAATACTACATTTGCACCACAGCATGTCCAGTGCCAAAATTAAGAAAGAGAAGGGAGAATATAGCAGATGTGACATATTCTCTTGAACCCAGCTTCCTCTTTGCAGCCAATCTTACTGTGCATATTTATTTGGCTTTTGTGTTTTATTTAAGACTCCAACTCAGTTCTGAAACGTTATCTTGTAAGATTCCTCATCACATAAAAGAATGCGTATTCAGTCAAGGTTAGGTGTTACATAGAGGCCATCACATTTCCATGGGCATGCCAGGAATATTTACAGGGTATAAGCAAGTTTGTCTTTTAAAAATAATTTTAGGCACACGTTAATAAAATTTAAATAGATTGCAGGCTGTCAGAGAATAGTATAAATTTTGTTTATGATCAGTTACTTTAAGGTACTTACATTAAAGAAACTCATTTAACCCCTGACTGAAGAGCATTAAGAGGGGAGGGAAGCCCTCCAAAGAGCTTCCTTCCACTGCCCTTTGCGTTCCCGATAATCTTAAATTACTACAATTTAATTGCAACTTCAAGGGTTGAGTATGAGCTGCTTCTCTGACTGAGAAAGGGCTTCCAGAGCATAGCTAAGTTTGCACAGGTGGTATTTTTTGTATTTAATTTTTTTTTTCTTAAGGCTTTTTTCTTTTCTCTATCCTGTTAGATGTCATACTCCTTTAAAGATTTTAGTACATAGTAAATGCCATTTTTGCCAAGCTAGCAGTATTGGCTTTTTTCCTTTGAGATCTTTTTTTAAATTTATTTTTTAACGTAGAGCATATAAAGGTTTCAAGTAGATAGTTTGTTTTCTGAAAAAAGAAAAGCACAACTTCTAGAAAGGCACCTGGTAAATAGACAGGTGAACTTTATACACATGCCAACATATACTTTTACTGTTTGCAGGCAATTTTTTTTTTCTCCTGAGTTGATGCTGCTAAGTCCCACCCCATAATCAAATACTGAGTTTGTGAGACAAGCCAGCAAACCAAGGAAGTCTGCAGTTGGGCCTGTGTATTTTCTAAATGATCTTTCTTGAGGCTTGTTACTGTTGTTCACGGGCCACTTTGCTATACACGTGCTATTTGAGGAGCCATCTTAAACTGAGTTTTTTTTTTTTTTTCTTTAATTCTCTTCCCTTGATACTTGGATGAATTACGTTTAGAGGTGCCAAGAGCTGAAATGTCAGCAGGCCACGAGACCAGGAGAGTTCCTGAAGTGGGCAAACCTGGCCAAATGCAAAGTATCTTCTGCATGACAGTCCTTTTTTCTTTTTCTTTTCTGGCGTGTGGATGATTTATTTCACGGTGCATGTGACCATGTGGTTAATGGAAATCAAGCAGATTTGGCTTGTGTCACCAACCTAAAAATAAATGTCGTAAGAAACATTGAATTTCAAGAAGTGCTTTGGTTTTGCATCCCGTAGATGCTCTCGCAAGTGGGACTTACAGGGCTGGTGTTCTGCAGAGAGGAACTACTGTGGGGTGGCCTGCATGGCAGTTGGGAAGGCCAACCAGACAGCGTCCTTTGTTTCTTTAATAAATTATGCTTATTAATTACAGTCAGTGTGCGCTACGGCAGTTTCCAAGCCTTGTTTAGAAGTCAGTACCCATTCACGGGAAGCTTGTGCCAGGGCTGTGTTCTTTTCTTCTCACTGTTGTTCTACTCAGTCATGAAATCGACCGACCAGATTGGCTTGTGGCTGTCTCTGTGAGACTTGTTTTTCTTTTTGAAATCCCCTGATGCCAGTTTTTAATATATGCCCTGTCTTGTGTACAACAGGTGTTTGTTTGGTAGTTATTTCATGAAACTTGCAGTGAGAAAAAAACCTTTCCTGCGTTAGCCAGCCACTGGGTGAATGAGCTGCCTAAAAAGAAGAACCTGGAACTTGAACAGGTGTAAATGGGTTTTTCCTCCTGGCATGCTCTAAACTGTTTTGTTCTCTTTTTTTTAAAAAAATAGGCGGGGGTGGGGGGATTGCTCAATTTACTGCCATGAAATTTACAGTTAACTTGTAATAATTTAAGATTACTGGGAGTGTGCAGAGGGTAGTGGGAAATTTTTAGTGGTTTGGTGTTGATGCTTAAAGCTGCTTAGTTGTGGGGTTAATTTAGTGTCTTCAATCCCAGTACTTAAAGTAACTAAATCGTAAACAAAATTTATATTAGATCC